GCATTCAAACAAGGGAGGGTGCGTGTGCTGGGGAGAGACGTGTGCGACACCCTCCCTGGCTTTGTATCTCCCCACAGAAGCAGCTTACATTTTGGTCCGTGCAGTGTAAAGGCGGAGGAAGAGGCTATACATCGACTCTGTACCTGGAGCCCCCGGTTGCTAACTCTGGACTGGGAAATTCCTGGAGATTTGGGGGCGGAGCTTGGAGAGGGCGGAGTCTGGGGAGTGGAGGGAGCTCCGCGGGGATGGGATGCAGAAAAGTCTACGCTCTGAAGCTGCAGTTTTCTGCAGGGGAACAGATCTCAGTGGCCCGGAGATCAGTCGTAAGGTTGGGAGGGCTCCATGCTGCGCCTGGAGGTTGGCAACCCTAGCTCCCCACCTCCCGAGGCTGCTGGAGTTATAGCTGAAAAACGGCACTAGGTTTACTTTGAAAGCACCCCGGTGGTTTGTAGCTCATGCTTGTTTATTCATTTATACAAAAGAAGACGAAGAAGAAGAGATTGGATTTATACCCCGCCCTTCACTACCCAAAGGTGTCTCAGAGCGGCTTACAAACTCCCTTCCCCTCCCCCTCCCCACCACAGACACCCTGTGAGGCAGGCAGGGCTGAGAGAGCTCTGACAGAAACTGATCTTTTTCAAGAACACCTGTGCCAGAACTACAGCTTGCCCAAGGTCATCCAGTAGGTGCAAGTGGAGGAGTGGGGAATCAAACCCGGTTCTCCCAGATTAGAATCTGGTGCACTTAAGCACTACACCAAACAGAAAAGAAGAAGAAGAGGAGATTGGATTTGTACCCGCCCTTCACTACCCAAGGGTGTCTCAGAGCGGCTTACAAACTCCCTTCCCCTTCCCCTCCCCACAACAGACACCCTGTGAGGCAGGTGCGGCTGAGAGAGCTCTTGACAGAAACGGCTCTTTTTCAAGAACAGCTCTTATCAGAACTACGGCTTGCCCAAGGTCATCCAGCAGGTGCAAGTGGAGGAGTGGGGAATCAAACCCAGTTCTCCCAGATTAGAGTCCGTGCACTTAACCACGACACCAAACTGGCTGCCTTTCTCCCTTGTGGAACTCCAGGCGGCTTGCAATATAAATACAATACGCTTCTCAGTCCTCTGAGATAAAGGAACACTCTGGGTCGAAGGAAGGGTAAGGAAGCAGCAGTCCTGGCGGAGGCGATGGCTGCATCTCTGCTCTACATTGCCGTGTGTGCTGTAGCAGAACACAGCGGTACATGTGTGATGGACTTCTCTATTCCATGGGGAAGGAGGAGTTCCATCCGCGCATTGCTCGACGCAAAGATACTCCATTCCTCGAGCACAGTAGGCAGATTCCAGAGGTGCAGCAGCCCTAATAAGCCAAGGATCCTTTAAGACTGCAAATGCATTGTTCACTATAAATGAGCTGGTCTTTTAAGGGCTTCCCTGCATTATAATTTTCTTTGCTTGTGTGTTCCTGTAGCTTCAGGGATTTCCCCCCATTTTACACATGCTTTGCTCCCTCTAGTGGATGATTCGATATTACACCAGTTTATGTGAGACATGTCTCCCTGCAGATTTTTATGCCGGACATACACCACAGTAATATAGAATTGACCACTAGAGGGAGCACAACACATGCAAAACAGGACACCCCCCCCCCAAGAAACAGGAACTTACAAGTGAGGAGAATTAGAATGAAGAACAGCCCTAAATCTAGCTAGTCTTTAAGACCACAAACTCTTGAGTGTTTTGAACGTTGGTAGAGAAGATCTGTGGGCGCACTGAAGTTTCCATGGTGGAGAGAGGAGATGATTTGGGAGGGGAAACGTGCATGGCTAACCCGGCTAATCCGTACCATATTTCTTTAGCTGTGAAGGGGCCTCGTAGAATCCCCCGCCATGTGCAGTCTGATAACCTACATACCTTATGGCTTAAGAGCATCAAAGATAGACAGTGATAAGCATATAATAGAGAATTCATGTGCTCTCATTTCTGTTAAGATATCATGCAGAAGAGTGTTAATTTGTCACCCTTATTCCGGCACTGCAGACCAGAAAGAGGGCTGGAAAACAAACCCCACATGAGTGAGGATGAGAAATAGCATATCATGAAGATATAAAGTAGAATTGTTCTAAATTTAAGGCCTGATCGTATGGGGCGCATACTGATAAATTCCTCCGATTCACTCTGATCCATTACGGTTAAACGGAGCCATATTTCCTCAGGAATCTGTTTTTCTTTCTTTCTCATCCTCACCCTTTGTGGGGTTTTTTTTTTGGCAAATAGATTTCATACAAGTTTCTTAAGACAAATATTTCTGAAATAATAACGCTTGGAAGCTTTTTCCGTTTGGGTCAGAGATCCGAAAGAGGTGGTATCGAGCAGAAGCTTGGCTGAAACGTGGTTTTTGAAAGATGCCAGAAGGGTGAGGAACCCCTGATAGAGATGCTGCGTTTTGGGGAAGAACCGGCTACTAGCGCCCAGGCCCAGAGACCAAATGCCAAAGAGATAAGTCTCCCATGAAGGACTGCGAGACAAAGCCACTCAAGTGGTGAGGATTTCTCCACAGGACCCCTCACGACCTCCCTGGTCTTGTTCCTCATTACAGTCCTGGTCCTCGACTCGGACTTCCTGTCTCCAGCTCTGTCCACTGTCCATGGTTCTGGCCTCAGCACCAGGGACGTCATGATCCCAGGTCCCACTTCAAGTCATGTGACTGTGGGTGGTGGGTGCTTGCAGCGCAGTGGGCCCCCAGGTCTGGAAAGGCGGAAGACCCTCCCCCTCTGACAGACATTTTCCGTTGTTGCAGGGGGAAATACAGAGTTGCCTTTTGCTTTGCAGGCAATTGTCCCGACAGCGAAGAACTCGAGGCCTGTTTTTCTTCCTGGTTACTTGGGGAATTATTTGGGCTTGGAGGCTTATGTGGCACTACTAAGTGAACCTTGGTGCTTGGGGGGGGGAGCAAGAGTGGGAGGGCTTCTGGAGCTCTGGCCCCGCTGGTGGACCTCCTGAGGGCACCTGGGTTTTGGCCACTGTGTGACACAGAGTGTTGGGACTGGATGGGTCATTAGCCTGATCCAATATGGCTGCTCTTATGTTCTTATGTCTGGGGCAGGAATGGTCTGTCTTCTTGGTACTTGGTGGTGGTGGGGAGAATGGGAAGGCTACTGGAGTTCTGGCCCCGCTGGTGGAACTCCTGATGGCACCTCGTTTTTGGCCATTGCGTGACACAGAGTGTTGGACTGGAGAGGCCACTGGGCTGACCCAACATGGCTTCTCTTATGTTCACGCTCATGTTCTAATCCTGGATTATTTCCTGACTGGAATCAGGGAACCCTCCCTTTCTCTGGTGGTCTGTTGTCCGGCTTGCACCCTGTTTTGGGTGCTCGTCAGTCCTCTTGCTTTCACTCCGTTTTTCCTCAGGTCCCCCACTCTGGGTGTCTGCCTGCCCAAGAAATAGTGATACAGCTTCAGTAGCCTCCTCACCCCCTCATTTTAGAAATCTCCAGATCTCAGTAATGACGCCCCTGTTCAATACGACCGAAGTTACAGGCCTCTGGCCCTTTTTGTGCTATTTTGTCTCCTAGCACAGGGTGCCTGCCCACATCTTTCCTGGCACCTGCTGAGTGCTTTTAGAAAGCGGGCGGAGCTAGGCGGGGCTTTTGCCCTACAGGGCTTCTGATTGCTTGTGTGGACGAAAAAGCATCCCGTTCAGCAGACCTTCTGCCTGAAAGGTTGAAGAATTACCACTACAGTTACATATCACCTCAGTCCCTGCGGTTGGCTCTGCCTCGCACGGCGGCCATTTTGTGACCGGCTCTGCCTACTTCGGCGGCCATTTTGTGGTTGAGCACACCTCCCTGGGTCAGAATTCCCAAGGTGCCCTCCGGCTCAAAAACTTTGGGGACCCCTGTCCTAGCGTTCCTTTGTCAGTATGTCATATACTAGAAATTCCTTCCTGAAGGTTGACTGGTCAACGTCACACGTGGGCTGCGTTCCTCTCACGACCGCCTATTTCCTCTCAGCTGACTCCGTTTCTGTGGTGAACTTCCCCATTCCCCCCCTCCCCCTTGAGTATGTCGACCGCATGCTTGTTTGTAATTCAAAGCTATACAGGCCGGATCTTACACCAAAATGCTTAGGATCATCGGAATGATGTGGTCAGAGCCGTGGGCACCAGGGTGTGACAGCAAAGAGACGACTCCGTGGTTCTTGACATGCCCGCCTGCTGGGTGATCATGCCCACGAGGCAGTTGAGTCCTGGCAGATGTAAACAGCTGTTTTGGCAACCGGGCTATGGAATAAGTCAGGGATTAGGTCCATATGATCCTCCAGAGAGTGGCCCAGTGGCCAGAAGCGATCTCCTAGGTAGGTTTGGTTCCATTACAGAGCTGGCTTTGGCTAGCAGGAAGGGTTTGAGAGATACAGATATACATGCATTCAAGCGCCATGTTCACGATCCAAAAGGAGAGCTGTAAACACTGACGTGTGCGAACCGGAGTTCTTTTGCAGTTTGAGAACCGTTTGCTTTTCCCGATGCAAAAGTGTGGTTTTTGTGTTTTTTTGGCCAAAACCTTGAATAAATTCGATGGGACTGCTTATCAGCAAGATGAAGTCGCTTTCGGGAGGGGGGACAGATTTGGCTGTCTCTGAAATCCGGCGATTTCCAGGTGGGTGCGCGCGCCCATCCAGAAGGCCTTCTGGAAAGTCATGCAGAATGAACCAATCTTTTGCCTTCATCGATCCAGAAGCAGAGCCGCTGACTCTCCCAAATGCCAAGTTATTCAGGAAGGAAAGAGGGACGTGTATGGTGGGATGAACGGCGGCCTTAGAGAAGAAGATTTGCAGGCGGAACTTCTGGGTCTGACGGCGGCTGAGCGCAGTTGGTCCAAAGTCAAACGTGAATGGGGCAGGGAGATTATCAGGGGGTCACCTGAATAGCTATTTAAAAGGGGGGTGGGGAAAGGAAAGACGATTCGTTGGCAGTGTGACGAGATCTGCTCCGACTCACGAGTTCGGCCTACAAGAGGAGAATAGTTATGGCCAGAAACAAGACGCCCGTGGCGACCACCGCCAAGGAGACCTCGGGGATCCGGCCGCTGTTCAGCGTGACCTCATAAGCCGTGATCTCCTCTTGGTAGCCTGCTTCCTTGGAGGTGCATTTGAAGACACCCGTGTCCATTGGGTTGGCCTCCCCAAAACGAAGAGTGCAGGATTCCCCGTCCACGGAGCACGAGTACGTCTTGGCGTTGTCCTTGACCCAAGTGTAGGTGGCGTGGTGGGAACGCATGGGGCAAGGCAAGTAGATATAGCCGGTGGGGTCCACGCTCACTTTCTTGAGAGCATCCTGGCTTTTTTGTTCTTCGGAGTCCAGAATTTGGGGGGAAACAAAGAGACAAAAGAGGAGATGTCGTTTTTAGATACACAATATTTTGAGTTAATCCGCTAGCTGAGATTCCCCCCCCCCCCCGAGGACTCTGAGCAGGACACGGAAGCTCTTCAGCTTGGAGAAACAACGACCGGGGGGGGTGGGGGGGCGACATGATTGAGGTTTGCAAGATTTTGCATGGGATAGAGCAGGTAGAGAAAGAGGTACTTTTCTCCCTTTCTCACAATACAAGAACTCCTTGTGGGCACTCCATGAAATTGCTGAGCGGTCGGGTTAGGATGGATAAAAGGAAGTCCTTCTCCACCCCAAGAGTGATTAACACATGGAATTCACTGCCACAGGAGGTGGCGGCTACAAGCATGGACGGCTTCAAAAGGGAATTAGGTAAGCATATGGAGCAGAGGTCCATCAGTGGCTATTAGCCACAAGGTATAGATAGGAACTCTCGGTCTGGGGCAAGGGATGCTCTGTCTTCTTGGTGCCTTGGGGGGGACGGGACAAGAGTGGGAGGGCTTCTAGTGTCCTGGCCAATGTTCCCTCTAAGGTGTGGAGTCTTGTGAGCAAAAATTCTACTTTGTGAGTTGCTGGCATTAAAGTTGTGAGCGAGGGATTTGACTACTACATAAATTAGTTTGCTCTGGAGCCCTCCCTCCTGAGCTAAGACAAAAATGTGTGAGCCAGAGGCTAAAAAACTGTGAGCTAGCTCACACTAACTCAGCTTAGAGGGAACACTGGTCCTGGCCCCACTGGTGGACCTCCTGATGGCACCCGGTCTTTTTGGCCACTGTGTGACAGAGTGTTGGACTGGATGGGCCATTGGCCTGATCCAATGTGGCTTCTCTTATGTTTTTATGTCTGGGCCAGTGATACTGTCTTCTTGGTGCTTGGAGGGCAAGAGTGGGAGGGCTTCTGGAGTTCTGGCCCCACTGCTAGACCACCTGAGGGCACCTGATCTTTTTGGCCACTGTGTGACAGAGTGTTGGTCTGGATGGGCCATTGGCCTGATCCAACATTGGCTTCATTTATGTTCTTATGAAGTAACAGCTATCCAGCATCTTGTAAGCTAAGGTACACTGCCTCTGGTTATGGAGGTTCACTTTAGGTAACAGCAGCCAACAGACCAGGAGTCCCCATGCTTTTTGAGCCCGTGGGGACCTTCGGAATTCTGCCTCGGCGTGATGGGCGCAGCCACAAAACGACTGCCACAAAATGGCTGCTGCCGGAAGTGGAGCCGGCCACAAAATGGCTGCCACACTGAAGATCCATGTGCTTTGGCGGCAGCTGCTGCCAAGGTAACATTTTTAAAAATCTGCACGGCCAATCAAATCCCCAGATGCCAACAGGGTCGCTGCCCCCCCCCACTGGAGGCGGGGAATCCCCGGCTGCCAGGCCCCGCCCCCAATCAGCTGGCCGGCGGAGGGATGTAGCAGGAAGAGGAGGGAGGCCCCTTATTAAGTCAACTTTTCCAATATAATTGATTTCCAGTCCTTCCAGCTAGCTAAGCCTGGATCAAAATCTTGGGCTGCCCTTCGTGAGTTTGTGGCAGAGGTGAGATTTGAACTGGGGACCTCTGGATTTGTAGCATAGACTCCAAGACCAAAATCTCATGTAGCTGTGAAGCCCAGGAAGGCAGAAATACAACTGTAAATTGCCTTTGCTGCTCGGCCCTCAGACCCATTCAGGCACCCGACTTTCTCTTTTCACATGCGCAGCACCCAAACGGCAAACAAAGGGCTGTCAAGAGGTGGGTGTGAATTCTGCCACAGCAGCCGATGCGCTTTCTTCAAGCTACCAGATTGTCCACAGCCCATGCTTGGAGATCTGTGCAACCACTTGGCTGTACGGCAGGGAAGTCAGGCAGTGGAAGCTTACCTTCGACACCTTTGCACACATCTGTGGACTGTGGATCCAGGCTCTGAAGCAAGCTGTGGGAGGAAAAGGCAGAGAGGGAGGGAGGGAGAGAGAGAGAGAGAGGGAGGGAACACAAAATGAGAGTCTGTTGGTTGTGGGGACAGGCAGAGGTTAATGCCTTACAGCAGGGGTCCCCAACACGGTGCACTGCTAACACCCTTTCTGGTGCCTGCCAAGTGTCTTTAGAGAGTGTACAGGGGCATTTGCCTGGCATGGCTGTCGTGGGTCAGCCAGGGCTCACCGATAGCGAGGACTCCTCAGAAGAAGAGAAGCCCCGTGTAGCCAGCCTTGAGTTAATAGAAGCTGACTAGCAGGAAAATAAGCTGCAGGCTTGTCAGGATTCACAGCCAGCAGCTGGTGCAGAGCCACCAACACTCTCTAGCCCTGATTCAGCAGATGAACCTCAGATGGCCATTCCTAGCCCACCAGTATCACCCACACCCTTAGAGCGCCGCAGAAGGAGGTTGAGAACAGAACTACAGACAAGACAGCAAAATGCATTTTTATATATATATATATTTATATTTATATATATATAAAAAACTCCATTAGTCACACAGACTATGCTCTTTCTTCAAACTTAGATAATATAGGCAGCACTTGGATTTTGCAACTAACTTTCTCTACTTTGGGTTCTGCTTCCTTCGAACTTATTCCTGTCATTCCTAAATCCCCCTTTTCTTTCTTTCTTTCTTTCTTTCTTTCTTTCTTTCTTTCTTTCTTTCTTTCTTTCTTTCTTTCTTTCTTTCTTTCTTTCTTTCTCTCTTTCTCTCTTTCTCTCTTTCTCTCTCTCTCTCTCTCTCTCTCTCTCTCTCTCTCTCTCTCTCTCTCTTATATTTGTAAATCCACCTTTCTCCTGAGCATCTGCCAAACACCAAATTCTCCCAGAAGCAGATCCCATGAAGGCTTCTGCGCCTTTTCTCCCTGGCTAATTCTCTTCCCCTTCCTCTGTCGCACTCCCCTCTGCACCTTAACGCTGCACAGAGAGTTGTGGCTCAGTGGAAGGGCCTCTGCTTTGCATGCAGAAGGTCCCCAGTTCAATCCCCGGCATCTCCAGTTAAAAAGATCTCAAGCAGCAGTCCCTTGGAAAGGGCCTTTCTCCACCTGAGATCTGGACAGTGCTGGCTTTTAGGTCTTCAATGACTCACAAAAGCTCATTCCTTGCTACAAATTTTGCTAGACTTGAAGGTGCTCCTGGACTCTTGCTCTTTTCTACTGCTGCAGACTAATATGGCTACCCATCTTGATCTATCACACGTTTTCAAGATGGATAGCTGTGCTAGTCTGTCTGTAGCAGTCAAAAAGAGCAAGAGTCCAGGAGCACCTTAAAGACTAACAAAATGTGTGGCAGGGGATGAGCTTTTGTGAGTGACTGCTCACTTCTTCAGATACAGCTAGAATGGGAGTCCATCGGCCCTATTTATTGGAAACCGGAGTGATTTCAGATGCCGAATGACACTAGCATGCAAATGACAATAGTAGGTGACTAACAGCAGCAGGCATGATTGGATTTAGGTGTGGTACGTAGAGGGGCAGTAGGTGTGGAGAAATCGGCATTGGTAATGAGACAGGAAACCTGGGTCTTGATTCAGTCCAGGGGGATGCATTGCCTTCAGCTTTCATTACCAGTTGCAATTCAGCAGTCTGTCTTTCTAATCTCCCTTTGAAATTCCTTTGTAAGAGAATCGTTACTTTTAGGACAGCAACTGAATGCCCTGGAAGGTTAAAAAGTTCCCCCACTGTTTTTCTGAACGTTGTGGCTTCTGATGTCAGACTTGTGTCCATTTATTCTTTGTCGAAGGGACTGGCCTGTTTGTTCATCTTGATCTGCCACACGTTCTGTTAGTCTTTAAGGCGCTCCTGGAGTCGGTCTCTGGCTCTTTTCTGCTGCTACAGACAGACTAGCCAGGAACAACAAAACAACTGTGAGCTGAAAGGCTCTTTGTGTAGCAGGAACTCCTTTGCATATTAGGACACACCCCCTAATGTAGCCAATCCTCCAAGAGCTTACAGAGCTCTTCTTACAGGAGCTACTGTAAGCTCTTGGAGGACTGGCTACATTAGGGGTGTGTCACTTAATATGCAAATGAGTACCTGCTACAAAAAGAGCCTGAAGAGACTTCAATAAAGTGAAAAGAAACATATAATTAGCAATATCAGTAACAAATATTACATATGGGAATGAAAAATCCACACAATCCATGAAGGGAAACAGTTAGGAAACTGGTATGAGACTTCCTATGTTGGTAAGATACATGAGTCTCTGTGTAACAGTGATTATATATTGTTATTAAGCATCATGGTTTAGAAGCTATATTGTTATAAGGCACTGCTGTATCCTATACTTTTACAATTTTGTACTTCTGTAGTTCTTTGTTCCTGAGGAAGGACCGGGAGTCTGAAACACTATAAACTACCTAGGAAAAGTGTTGGATATCTTCTCTGGACTTGACTGTTTCCCTTCATGTTGCTTTGTTGTTGTTCAGTCGCACAGTCGAGTCCGACTCTTTGCGACCCCATGGACCAGCTCCCGCCAGGCCCTCCTGTCTTCCGCCGTCCTCTGAAGTTGGCTCAATTTCATGTTCGTTGCATCGATGACACTGTCTGACCATCTCATCCTTTGCCGTCCCCGTCTTCTTTGACCTTCAATCTTTCCCAGCATCAGGGTCTTCTCCAGGGAGTGCTCCCTTCTCATTGGGTGGCCAAAGTATTTGAGCTTCAGTTTCATTATCTGGCCTTCCAGGGAACAGTCAGGGTTGATTTCTTTTAGGATTGACTGATTGGATTTTCTTGCAGTCCAAGGGACTCTCCAGAGTCTTCTCCAGCACCATAGTTCAAAAGAATCTATTCTTCGGCGCTCGGCCTTCCTTATAGTCCAACTCTCGCAGCCATACATGACTACTGGGAATACCATTGCTTTGACCATGCGGACTTTTGTGGGCAGGGTGATGTCTCTACTTTTTATCATGCTGTTTAGGTTCGTTTGCTTGTTGCTACAGACAGACTAACACGGCTACCCATCTTGACACATATGCGCACCATCTCACGAGGAGACACAATGGCAGGAACTTGGTTGCCAGCCCACACCAAGTGCAGGGCGCCAATGGGGACCAGTGGCCACGCTACCGGGGCACCCCCAAGTCAAGCAACGAGCTGTCCCAACACACCATTCAGCCCCGCCAGCGCCCTCGCTTCCTCGGCATACCTGCCACTGTGGTTTCTGACTTGAGAGACGGCCGAACAAGTCAGGCTGCTCGGGTCCCACCCGCAATACGGGTCGCGGGCCAGGACGCAATTCCAGCAGGTGTCCTTGTACTGCTCGCAGTCCGCCAGCGAGAGGCGCGCCACCTCGGACTCAGTGCTCACGTACAGGTGACCCTGCCGGAGAGGAGGCAGGTTAACGCTAAGGTCGAAAAGGAGCGAGGGAGCGGTGGCTCATCCGGAACCCTTCCAGAGGGCGGAAATGAGAGCTCCTTTCCAGACGGAGTTCAAGACCGTTCCCAGTAGGGGGAATTATTGGGGGCAAGCGCGATCACGGAATTTGGGAGACGTCAGGAGCAGATCCCACAAGGGGAAAAGACCAAAACAGCAACTCTGTCCTGGAAAACTTCATAGGAGGTCCAAGAGGAAGGAAGGAAGGAAGGAAGGAAGGAAGGAAGGAAGGAAGGAAGGAAGGAGGGATTGGATTTATACCCCGCCCTTCACTTGGAGTGGTTTACCATCTTCTTTCCCTTCCCCTCCTCACAACAGACACTCTGTGAGGTAAGTGGGGCTGAGAGAGCTCTGGGAGAACTGCTTTTGAGAGAACAGCTCCGAGAGAACTGTGACTGGCCCAAGGTTACCCAGGTGGCTACCTGTCGAACAGGAGTGGGGAATCAAACCCGGTCCTCCAGATTAGAGTCCGCCCCTCTTAACTACTACACCAAACTACACCAAACAGACTGTGGTTTCCTACTGGAATGGACAAAAATGGAATTATGGGGAAAGAAGCAGGAGGAGGAAGAGGAGTTGGATTTATACCCCACCCTTCACTTGGAGTCTCCAAGGGGCTTACAATCTCCTTCCCTTCCTCTCCCTACAACAGACACCCTATGAGGTAGGTGGGGCTGAGAGAGCTCTGAGAGAACTGCTCTTGAGAGAACAGCTCTGAGGGAACTGTGACTGGCCCAAGGCCACCCAGCGGGCTGCATGTGAAGGAATGGGGAAACGAACCCAGTTCTCCAGATTAGAGTCCGCCGCTCTTAACGACTACACCAAGCTGGCTCACCCGGCCCTGGGAAGGGAGACGCCCATAACCAGGTTAATACGCCTCTTACCATAGTGGTGTCCAGGACCATGGAAGAGACGGGCGCTTCTTTCTTGAAGGGGCTTAGCTCCGCAATGATCACCGTCTGCTCTCCCTTTTGAAGCACCTTGTGGATCTTCCCTTGGTCTGCCGGAAAGAGAGAAGATTCCGCAGTGGCCAGCTTTGTAGATCTCTCAACAGCCTGTCTGGGGTAGTGGTGTCAACTCCAGGTTGGAAAATCCCTGAAGATTGGGGGGGGGGGCCCGGGGAGTGTGGAGTCTGGGGAGGGGAGGGAACTCAGCCGGGAGGTGAGTCCACAGAGCCTGCCCTAAACATTTTAAATTTTGTTTACTTGTCAAGGTCTCCCTTGCTTGAAAGCCAGTCGAATCCGACTCTAGGGATGCGGTGATCATCTCCGTTTCGAAGCCGAAGAGCCAGCGCTGTCTGAAGACGTTCCCGTGGTCATGTGGCCAGCATGACTAGATGCCAAGGCGCACGGAACGCTGTTCCCTTCCCACCAAAGCGGTACCTATTTATCTACTTGCAATTTCTTGCTTTCGAACTGCTAGGTTGGCAGGAGCTGGAACCAGAGACGGGAGCTCACTCCGTCATGCGGCACCCGGGTCTCAAACTGCTGAACTACCAACCTTCCGGTCTGCAGTTCAGCGTAAAGGTTTCCCTTGCTCGAAAACCAGTTGAATCCGACTCTAAGGATGTGGCGCTCATCTCCGTTTCTAAGCTGGAGAGCCAGCGCTGTCCAAAGACATTTCCGTGGTCACGTAGCTGGCATGACTAGACACCAAAGTGCACAGAACGCCCACCGAAGCAGAACTATAGAATCATAGAATGCTAGAGTTGGAAGGGACCTTGCAGGTCATCTAGTCCAACCCCCTGCACTCTGCAGGAGCACAGCCGAAAGATAGCCCTACATACCTACAGCATACTCGAAAGATGGTCGTCCAGCCTCCGCTTGAAAACGTCCAGCGGAGCACCCACCACCTCTCGAGGCAGACTGTCCCAATGCTCAACCACTCTTACAGTTAGGAAGTTTCTCCTGATATTTAGCCGGTAATGACTCCCTTGTAATTCCCACCCATTAGACCTAGTCTTGCAATCCGGAGCAAGAGAGAATAGACCTGCTCCATCTTCTACATGACAGCCCTTCAGATACTTGAAGACTGCAATCATGTCCCCTCTAAGTCTTCTCTTTCCCAGGCTAAACAGACCCAACTCTTTCAGCCTTTCCTCCTAAGACTTGGATTCCAACCCTCTCACCATCCTGGTTGCCCTCTTCTGGACACGCTCGAGCTTGTCAACATCCTTCCTAAAATGTGGACACAGGACTCCAGGTGAGGCCTGAGCATAGCAGAATAGAGCGGAACGACCACCTCCCTTGATCTGGACACAAGGCTTCTGTTAATGCATCCTAAGATTGCATTCGCTTTCTTCACAGCCACATCGCACTGCAGGCTCATGTTTAGCTTGTGGTCATGTGGCTATTTATCTACTTGCAGTTTCTTGCTTTCAAAATGCTAGGTTGGCAGGAGCTAGAACTAGAGATGGGAGCTCGCTCCGTCATGTGGCACTCAGGTCTCGAACAGCAGAACTACCTTCTGGTCGGCAGTTCAGCGTCTTAACCACTTGAGCCACTGCTAAATTACCCCCCTATTTACTGTTACTTCTATTTAGAACTTTTATTAGTTGCAGTCAAGAGAAAGTGCCTTCTCTATATTGATCGGTCAGACAGTTTATGTGTCACGGTTTGCTCTGTTGTCGAATCCCAAGGTAATGGTCCTTCTCCTGTTTGTACTATCTGAGCAGGAAGTAACATTTGCTGAAGCCAAAAGGGGTATCAGCTGCATATCAAAGTGAACCGCTTAATTACTCTCAGTCGGGAGGCGGAAAAATCTTACTCTTATTCCAGAAGCATTTGGGTGTGTGTGTCATGTTAGTGATTGGCTCTAGGTGGTCGGGGGGTGCGCCTCAAGGAATCCTAGAATCATAGAGTTGGAAGGGACCTCCAGGGTCACCTAGTTCAACCCCCTCCACAATGCACGAAATTCACAAATACCTCCCCACTCATACCCCCAGTGACCCCTGCTCCATGCCCAGAAGAGGGCAAAAAACCCAACAAGCAGGGGTCGTTTTGTAGAAAAAGAGCCAGGTGAACTCATTAGCATAACTCATTAGCATATGCCACACCCCCTGACATCACCGGAAGTGTGTCATAAGGCCACACACCCCGCCCCCAACGGTCCCGGCCGCTGCTGGCCTTGTAGCTCCACTGCGGAGCCCCATGAGGGGCCCAGCGGTGGACCTGCAAGGCCGGCGGGAGTGCAAGGAAGCCCCGCGAAGGCCCTCCCTGGCCCCAGGCAGGCAGGGGTGGGGAGAGGCAGGGAAGAAGCAACTTACCCTCCCTCTTCTCCTGCCTCCTCCTGGCTGAATGAGGGCCGGAAGCGGGGCGGCCAGAAGCAGGGGGCGGGGCTTCGTCATGTGCCCCGCCCCCCGTACCTCACCCGGGGGAACTGCGATCCCCCGCAATCCCCCACCAAATGACCTCTGCCAACAAGGCACCCTCCAGGATCTCCAGCCAAACTGGCCTGGAGAAAAATGGCTTCCTGACCAATGCTCCCTCTAAGTTGTGGAGTCCTGCGAGCAAGAATTCTGCTTTGTGAGCTACTGGCCTTAAAGTTGTGAGTGGGCGATTTGGCTGCTGCATAAATCAGTTTCCTCTGGAGCCATCCCTTCCTGAGCGAAGGTAAAAATGTGTGAGCCGGAGGCTAAAAAAATGTGAGCTTGCTCACACTCATTCAGCTTAGAGGGAACACTGTTCCTGACCCCAAGGTGGTGATCGCCATTTCCCTGGGCGTGTGAGAAAGGGCCACGAGAACTAAGCACTGAGGCAACCCTTCCTGCCCTCCCTCTCACGATCTGCCTAAGTTCACAGAATCAGCACGGCTGTCAGATGGCCATCGAGTCTCTGTTTGAAAACCTCCAAAGAAGGAGAGCCCACCACCTCCCGAGGAAGCCTGTTCCACTGAGAAACCACTCCAAACTGTCAGGAAGTTCTTCCAAATGTTTAGCCGAAAACTCTTGTGATTTAATTTCAGCCTGTTGGTTCTGGTCTGACCTTCTGGGGTAACAGAAAACAACTCCGCCCCATCATCTATCGGACAGCCCTTCAAGGACTTGAAGAGGGTGATTATATCCCCTCTCAGTCGTCTCTTCTCCAGGCTAAACACACCCAGCTCCTTCAACCTTTCCTCATAGGACTTGGTCTCCAGACCCCTCACCATCTTCGTTGCCCTCCTCTAGACACGTTCCAGCTTCCCTATATTCCTTCTTAAACTGTGGTGCCCAAAACGGAACACAATACTCTAGGTGAGGTCTAACCAGAGCAGAGTAAAGCAATACCGTCACTTCACGTGCTCTGGACACTATACTTCTGTTCATACAGGGACAGTCTCGTCCCTGTGCCTGGGATGCTGGAACAACACCAGGGGAAGGTCTCAGCTCCTACACCTTCCAGAGGACCTGGTTGGTCACTGTGTGAGACAGGAGGCTGGGCTAGAGGGGCCACTAGTCTGATCCAACAGGGCTGTTATTGTGTTCTTCTCAGGGGAAGGCCTCGGCCTCTCTGCCCTGTTATTGGCCCTCCAGAGGAACTAGGTGGCCACTGTGTGAGACAGGAGGCTGGGCTAGAGGGGCCACTAGTCTGATCCAACAGGGCTGTTATTGTGTTCTTCTCAGGGGAAGGCCTCGGCCTCTCTGCCCTGTTATTGGCCCTCCAGAGGAACTAGGTGGCCACTGTGTGAGACAGGAGGCTGGGCTAGAGGGGCCACTAGTCTGATCCAACAGGGCTGTTATTGTGTTCTTCTCAGGGGAAGGCCTCGGCCTCTCTGCCCTGTTATTGGCCCTCCAGAGGAACTAGGTGGCCACTGTGTGAGACAGGAGGCTGGGCTAGAGGGGCCACTAGTCTGATCCAACAGGGCTGTTATTGTGTTCTTCTCAGGGGAAGGCCTCGGCCTCTCTGCCCTGTTATTGGCCCTCCAGAGGAACTAGGTGGCCACTGTGTGAGACAGGAGGCTGGGCTAGAGGGGCCACTAGTCTGATCCAACAGGGCTGTTATTGTGTTCTTCTCAGGGGAAGGCCTCGGCCTCTCTGCCCTGTTATTGGCCCTCCAGAGGAACTAGGTGGCCACTGTGTGAGACAGGAGGCTGGACTAGATGGACCTTCACTGGTCTGACCCAGCAGGACTCTTCTGATGTTCTTCTCAAGGGAAGGCCTCGGCCTCCCTGCCCTGTTTCTTGGCCCTCCAGGGGAGGAACTAGTTGGCCACTGTGTGAGACAGGAAGCTGGACTAGATGGACCCTCACTGGTCTGACCCAGCAGGGCTCTTCTGATGTTCTTCTCAGGGGAAGGCCTCGGCCTCTCTGCACTGTTGTTGCCCCTCCAGAAGAACTGGCTGGCCCCTGATTGAGATAGGAGGCTGGACTAGATGGACCCTCACTGTTCTGATTCAGCAAGGCTCTTCTGATGTTCTTATCAGGGGAAGGCCTCAGCCTCTCTGCCCTGTTGTTGGCCCTCCAGAGTAACTGGCTGGCCCCTGTGTGAGGCAGGAGGCTGGGCTAGAGGGTTGGATCCAGCAGGGCTGTGCTTGTGTTCTTATGTCCCCGGCCGAGCTCACCTGTTCCAAGGAAGAGGACATCCCGAGTGGTGTTGCTGGCATCCCGCACCCTGTCTGCCACCACGCGGGTGTAGGTTTCATTGTTCTCGAGAAGGTAGAGGGGATGCTGCCCCTCTGGGTAGATGACCGTCTCTATTTCAGGGTAGTCCTTAATGACGGTCAGGGTAGCTTTGGGCGTTTGGGCACTTGACGCAACGCACTGTGTTGAAGAAGAGAAAGGAAACAAGGATAAGTCCAGGCAGCACACAGACTAGGGGTGCCAACTCTGGGTTGGGAAATACCTGGAGATTTGGGGGGGGGAGTCTGGAGAGGGTGGGGTTGGTGAGGGGGGAGACCTTGGCGGGACAGAATGCCACAGAGTCCACCTTCTTGTGCTGAAGAAGTTTTCAACAGCAATTGTATAATCATAATACGAAAAGTGAATACAAAATAGAACAAACAATGTAACAATGTGATGGAGTTGTTGACGATGATCTCCGGAATATTCCATCGTTTCGACAAGTTGCTTCTTCCGAACGAAGATGAAGAAAGATGAAGGGCCAAGATGAAGCACATGCAGCGTCCCTGGTCAGTTTTTCAATGGATAAATACCACCAATTTTCACTGAAGTATCATGACACTGAAGGAGCTGCGGCAGGCCCGTAGCCTCTGTGGGGCCCACGGGGCCTGCCCCCCCCCGCTGGTTTTGCGGCCCCCCCTCCCCTGCTCCCCCCTCCCTCCCAAATCAGCGCTGCCACTGGCCCTGACTATCAGGGTCCCGGCTCCAACCACAGCCCTTCCTGCCTTGGCGGCGGCCGCCTATCGCTTCCCACCCCCCCCCCCGGCGGTGGGCCCGCCTCCCCGCCCGCCCGAAAGCGGGGGCTGATCGGCCGATGCACCTCTCCGCAGCCACAGCCCGAGACGGGAGGAGAGGCGAGGCGACCCC